GAGAGATTTTTACTATAGGGTGCATGCACTCACCAGAGAGACAGAAAGAGACAGACAGAAAGCAAGAAATTATCCCCCAGAGGGATTGCAACACTGCAATCCCTTCTCCTCTATTCTCTTCTTGGGATTTTGGGAATGCATGCACATGTGCCTGGTATGAGTTGTAAAGGTCTGGGACTTGAACAACAGTTGACTATACAGGAGTCCAATGATGTAACCATTATGCCAACTGCTGGTCCTGTGAATATGCTTTTATATTTAGTATCTAACTTGTTCATGCCAGACACAAGTGCGTGTGTGCCCAAGATCCTGAGGGGAGAATGGAGAAGGGACTATGGTGTGTCTCCCTGTCTCTCTGTCTTTCTGGCAAGTGCACATGGCCTATAGCAAAAACCTCTCAAACAAACAAACAAAAAAGAATTAGTTTTCTTCATCATTATTATTTGTTTAAAAAAATTTGCCCAGATAGATAAAGAAAGGGGGAAATGAGAAAGCAAGCTGCCAGGTTTGGGACTCGAACTGCAGTTGGCCATGTGGGAATCCAGTGCCTTAACCACCATTCCATCTGCAGGCCCCTGGTCCTTAATTTTAAATATTTTTTAGAGATGTTTCTGCTATAGGTCATGTGCACTCACTGGAGACACAGACAAAGAGACAGAGATAGAAAAAGTGAGAAACCACTCCTCACACTGGATGGCCATGCCACAATCCCTTCTCCTCCATTTTCCTCTTGGGATTTGGGGCTCACATACATATGTGCCTGGTGTGAGTTTTAAGCTACCAGTTCTGAGACTTGAGCTGTGGTCGACTATGTGGGAGTCTAGGATGTAACCATTATACCATCTGCTGGTCCCATAACTAGTAATTCTCTAAAAATATTTGGAATTCTAGGTGGCAGTTTTTGATTTAAATATATTAAGTTCAGATCAGATGATTTCTAAATGTTTTTTAAAGAACCATTTAATTTTCTTTATCATCATTATTATTTTCAATTTGACATGGAGGTCCAGTGCCTTTAACCATCATGTCACCTGCTGGCCCCCTAAGGTTTTAGCCAAAGACGGGTAAGAGAGTCTGAGCCTATAACAACTATATAGTCCTCCCACCTAAGACAGGAAACCCATCATAGCTATGGGATTCTCCAATGACGGGTAAGGATAGACATGTGGCTCAACAAATGGCTCCAACCTAAGACAGACACAATTCCCCCAGGCTTTTCTCCTCTCTTTGAAAAAATAAAAAAGGAAAGGGCACGCACCCACACGCACCTGGTGTGAGTTCTAAGCCACCAGGTCTGGGACTCCTTGAACTGCAGTCGACTACATGGGAGTCCAGCGACATAGCCATTACGCCAACTGCTGGTCCCCATAATAAACACTTCTACAGTGTGTGGTCAGCATTATTCTATGTATCATATGTATAAACTAATTTAGTTTTCATAAGAATACTAGGAGCTATTTTCTATTTTAATTCCTATTTTATAGAGGAGGAAATTGAGGCAGAGGTTAAATAATGTGGTCCAGGATTACAGCTAGTAGGTAACACAGCCACCTTGGCAATTTGTCTGTCAGACTGTATTTTTAGTCCCTGACATTGCCTCTTGTACTAATTCACTAACTTTAATAGATGAGTGTGGAGGGCATTGTATATGGAAACCCTGACATTGCCTCTTGTACTAATTCACTAACTTTAATAGATGAGTACATTTGCAGATTCAAATTGCTTGACTTGTAATTTCAATTTACCACTATGAGCTATTAGAAGATTAAACACAGTGATTGATATAAATGTGAAGAATACACAAATATGTATTCATAATACAAAAGTCAAAGTCAATTTATGATTGCACAGAGAGCAAAGGGAAAAAAGTTGGCCAGCTATTAGGCACTGATGAGGCCTACTATTTTCAAGTTTTCTTCTTTCTTTTCTTTCTAAAATATCTACTAAGAGTACAAGTACCACGGGGGAGGCCTCTTTCTTGTCTGCTTTACAGTCTCTGTACCTACTGTGATACCTGGTGCCAGGCACTCAGTAACTGACCCACTGCAGACTGTTGGCTTCAGGATGCACCTCAAGAGCCCTGGCCACTGCATCGATTAAATTGTTTACTTTGGGTCCTTTTTAAGATTAGACAAGTAAAACCTTAATAAATTCTCATTGTTAAAGATTCAAAAACACTTAAGTAGATACAACAAAACTTGAAAATTGGGGACTAGCAGGTGGTGTGGTGGTTAAGGTGCTGGGATTCTCACATGGCTGAATGCGGTTCAAGTCCTAGACTTGGCAGCTTGCTTTCTCACTCTTCCTGTCTTTCTTTCTTTTCTTTTTTTTTTTAAACAAATCTGTGTAGAACTTTTTTTAAAAATTATTTTTATTTTATTTTCATTTACTTATTTTATTTTGGCCAGAGAGAGAGAGAGAGAGAGAAAGTGAGAAAGCAAGCCACCAGGTCTAGGACTTGAACCATGGTTGGCCACGTGGGAATGTCCAGTGCCTTAACCACCACGCCCACCTGCTGGTCCCCCCTCTCTGTCTTTCTCTGGCAAAATTCATGTGAAAATAATAATAATAAATAAATAAAATTCTTTAAAAAAAACCTTAAAAATCCACTTCATACTCACCAACACACTCTCATCCAGGTGACAGCTCTTCTGTTTAGTGTGATTTTAGTTCACTTCCGGCAACACATATGCACACAAACGCTTACATATAACAAAAAATGTCAATGCAGCCTCAAATACATACTATTCTGCAACGGCCTCCTACCAGTTTTCCACGACTGTTATTCTATTTCATGCTTAAAAGCTAGTATTCATAGTGTGCATGCCTTAAGCTTTCATGTAATTATTCCATTTTTAAAGAAAATTATTTATCTATTTTTTAAATTTGCTATTGGGCATGTGGCTTCACCAGAGTGAGAGAGTGAAAAGAAAGCTTACCAGGCTGGCGACTTGAATGGCGGTTAGCTACATGGGAGACCAGTGCCTTAGCCACCACACCACCTGCTGGCCCCTAATTATTTCCTTTTGATGGCATATACTGTTTCCTATAAACACCTATTAAAAACCGTGTTGAATGAACATTCCTGTGTAAATATCTACATATGGAAAATCTTGGGTAACATCCCTATTTGTAGAGAAGAACGCAGTTAAACAGCGCTGTGGCCGCTGTGCCTTTTTGTTTTCTTTTGTTCACAAGGCGTGTGCGCTCTCAGGAGAGACAGAAGGAAAGTGAACAATCACAGGGGTGGGGGCATGGCAGCCACGCAGCAATCCCTTCTCCTTCAATTCCTTTTCTTTCCTGCTGTCTCCTTTGAAGACTTCCGGCATGTATACACAAGGGCCCAGCGTTAGTTTTCAAGCTGCTGGGTTGGGGATTCAAACCGGAGGCCACCATGTGGGAAACCAGTACCTTAACCACCACGCCACCTGCTGGTCTTGTCGTCCCTCTTGTCGCTTTTTATAAGAGAAGGTGGTGCAAGGTAAGCGCAGGAGTAAGACTCCTTGTCAGGGCGTTGTAAGGAACTCTGCTCTCCCACAAGGGTCTTTCCTCAACCACCACCGGCTCCGGACGAGCAGGAGAGCCGCAGGAACGCCGTCGGAGACGGTGGGAGAAGCGCCCAGACGCGTAGCCCGGAGGAGCCAGCCTTCTCGGTAAGTCTCGCCGTTATCAAGTGTGCCTTTTTTAGGCGAGGCTGAGGGAGCAACTCCCCCGGGGAGTAAAAACCGCCTCGAGACAGCTGGGCGAAATTGAAGGCGCCAATGTGGCACGAGAAGGGCGGTGCATGGTGGCGAGAAGCCAGGAGTGGGGGCCCCCCCCCGGGGCCGCCGCCGCCATGGAGACCGCGTCCGGCCACCGCGGAGGACTCGCTTTCCCAGCGGCCCCCGCGGCCGCAAGGGCACCCAGCCCGGCCGGCCCTCGCGAGCGGGGGCGGGGCCGGGGCCGGAAGTCACGTGTTGTGACAGCCGCTGGGGTGAGGCCGCCGCGGCTGGGCTGGTTGGGACTGTGTCTGTGGGAGGCGCCGGGGTGATGGCGGTGGAGACGCTGTCCCCAGACTGGGAGTTTGACCGCGTTGACGACGGCTCGCAGAGTAAGGAGCGTCCGGGCGAGGGCTGCGGGTCCGCTCCCTGGCGCGCCGCAGCCCTGGCAGCGCTCCTGCGGGAGGGCTTTGCGTCGCGGTCGCTGCGCAGCGTCCGGTCTGGGACACTTTCTACCTCTTGGGGTGTGGGAGGGACGCGCTCTCCAGCGGTTCTTTCGTGGTCGGGGTCCCAGCCGTGGCGGGTCCGGCTCGGGGCTCGGCGTGCGGCGTGGTGACTCGGGGCTGCCCCGGGGGAGCGGCGTCCGCTCTGCAGCCCCGGGGTGCGCCCTGGCAGGCCCAGAGCCTGGGGGTCCGGAACGCCCCTGTCTCCCCCGCTGGGTTTGCAGGCTCTCGGAGCGTTCACTTCTGCCGTAGGAGAGGCTGACGTCTGGGTTCCTGTTTCGTTTCCTGTTTTTCTTCTTTTCCTTCCAAACCAACTTTTTGGAAGTTTGGTGGTTTTTTTTCTTTCACATTCTTATAACCGTAGAAGGTAGTGCCAAAAGAATTGTGTGCACGTGAAAAGTTTTATCTCAAGCCATTTATTTACGTTAAATGGTAATTTTCAGTGATGTTCGCCATTTGCCTTTGCAGCTATAAAGATTTTGAAAATGACAGCAAGTCTGCTTCTAATTTGGAAGTCCAACCAAAAAATCAGAACAAACCTAACAAATTCAGCTTTTCCCCCAAAAAATATGTAAAGAAAGGCAAAGCTAATTTTTACAGTGAAACTTTACTTGAGATTATTACAAGTTAGCAGTCTGTTTCTTTGGTGAGTTTTATCAGTATAAGTAATATGAGAGATGATGGGACACACTGTGATTTTGATTTATTTCTGCATAATTGTCCCAGAAGGTAAAATGTCATTTAAAAAGAAAAAAACACCAGATGAATTTTGCAAGGAGAGATTAATGTCTACAAAGTTAGCAGTAATTCGGTTTTATCATAATCTCAAAGGTAAAGCTACATCCAGAATAGTTTGTCGTTTTTCTAAAATATTTGGTAGGGCATTAGCTTTTATGCAGCATTAAAAAATAATCTTGGAGGTAATAACAGAATCTTCACTTCTTTTGTGGACAGGAATCTGTATTTACTGTTATAAAGTGAACCACACCTTGTCATATATCAGGTTTATGAACAAAGATCTACTCCAGTATTTTTAAGAAATTGGAATTAACCTTTGTTATTGGGTTAAAAAATGGTTCAGTTTAGAGTAGGATGATCTTATTCACTCAACATTACTGCTTGCTGTGCTGGGTATTAGGGATACAAAGATCAAACTAGGAATTCAGTTTGTTGGAAGAGGTAAGCATGTTAAATAGGATTTTGGAATTTCACTCCTGAAGAATCCCCACATAGTTCTTATTTCAAATCTTTTTACCAGTTTTACAACTATCCATGATCTTTTCAGCAAGGAATTTTGATATTACTATATATCGTTTGCTGACTGCTACTTTGTGAATCTTCAAACAAACTAAAAAGTGATATATTGGTATACTTTCTAGCATTGCCATTAGAAACTCATTTGCTGGTCCAGTGAAGCTGTGATTGGCCATTTCCCGTGTAACAGAATAACACATCTTGGAATTCTGAAAATCTTTTTTTTTTTTTTTTTTTGAGAGGTTTTTTGCTATAGGGCATGTGTGTTCACCAGAAAGACAGAGACAGAGAGACAGAAAGCGAGAAATCACCCCCCAGGGGGATGGCCACTCCACAGTCCCTTCTCCTCCATTCTCCTCTTGGGATCTTGGGCACGCACGCACGTGTGCCCGGCGTGAGTTTTAAGCCACTGGGTCTGAAACACGAACCATGGTTGACTACATGGGAATCCAGCGACATAGCCATTACACTAACTGCTGGTCCTGAAATTCTGAAAATCTTAAGGCAGTTTTTATCTGTAAATTGTAGGGAAGAGAAAAATTCTCATCTCTTCTTTATGCCTGATTTTCATTAATTTTTTAGGCTATGATTCACATCTAGACCAATTGTTTTCCAAAATTGTCTAGATTAATGAGATAGGAACCTTTATGAACTAAAATTGATCCATCTGATTCAGAGCATTCACTGCAAAATAAGGGAGACCAAGGAGCTAGGTCTTATACTTCAGCACAGCATGAGTCAACATACTTAAAGTCACTTCGCATTGCTACTTTGAGAAGAGAGAATTTTTACCTTTTTAGAAGACAAAGATTGAATAAAGTTATTAACATCAATATGATAAATTGAGTTAGAGTTGAATTGCTGCATGTTAACAGAAAATGAATGCTTATGTATTAAGTCTTCAAAAAGTTCACGGAAGGGATCAGCAGCTGGCGTAATGATTATATCACTGGACTCCCACTCAGTCGACCTCAGTTTGAGTCCCAGATGGCAGTTTGGAAGCTGAGCAAGCTGGGTATGTGTGTGCCCAGGATCCTGAGAGGAGAATGTGGAGAAGAGGGTATTGTGGCATTGTCATCCCCCCTGGGGGTGATTTCTTGCCGTCTCTGTCTCTCTCTCTCTGTCTTTGGCTAGCACAAGCTCCCTAAAGCAAAAAGTTTCTTTAAAAAGAAAAGTTAATAGAAAATATGCAAAAACTATGCTTGGATTTCAAACATTTCTTGCACCAAAACTCGTATTTCAATTTTGTTTTTCCATGAACTTTTTTGAGATCTGGTATAAAGTGAAATAGTTACTTTTATTTATCTTGATGAATAAGACTGTTTTTTATTCAATTTATTGCAAAGACTCCTCAAAGTCATGTCTTAGTGGGTAAATTTTGTAAATAGCAGCACTTTATACTATACTCAGCCAGTGTTTTTACTGCTTTTCCACCTTGATTATGATAGTTAAAGAAGTAAGATATCTCTGCAAGTTTTAGGCATTATAGAACTAATATTCATTATGCTGAAGTAGGTCTAAAACGTCCATTAAAAAATTCAGGTGTATTTGTAGATAGTAATCACTGCTAACAGAATTAAAAATTAGGTTTTTAAGTATTGATGCTGTTACAACACAGATTTTTGCATCTTCTTCAGAACATAGATATTTCTTTTTTACAGAACAGTTGTGGATGACTAAAACATAGAACTAGGGCATTGAGTTGTCTGAGGCAGTATTCAGATTGATTAAAAGTCCTAAATTGTGGGGTAAATGGGATAGTGACTTGGAAGAAAAAAGCTTTAGATTTTTAAGGTTATATCTTTAAATATAGTAGTTTTTACTGCTTTCAAAATTATTTTATGTATATGGGGATTGAAAACTGAATGACTGTTTAACTTTAGAACTGTATTTTCAAGAAGTTTAGGCCTTCTAAAGTAATAATTAACTATGCTTTGCCGTGACTTTTGAGGCTGAAGTGAAAAGTCCTTTAATTCGTTACCTATATTTACCACATCCTGTTGTAAAATTTGTTTAGAAATTCATGCTGAAGTCCAGCTTAAGAATTATGGGAAATTTCTTGAGGAATATACATCTCAGTTGAGAAGAATTGAGGATGCGCTGGATGACTCAATTGGAGATGTTTGGGATTTCAATCTTGATCCTATTGCATTAAAGGTTTGCTTTTATTTTATATTTTTACCTATATATGTATTTTTAGGACATACTATAACTTGTAAACATAATTGTTTTAAAATGGAAATTTTTTTTCACTTCAAATCTTAAGAATGAAAAGAAACATGTAGAAAATTCATTTATTTGCTTTTTTCCTGGCCACGTAGCTGTTTTTTAGTATTTTTGTTTTTTTTTTTTTTTTTTTTTTTTTTGAGAAGTTTTTGCTATAAGGCATGTGCACTCGCCAGAAAGGCAGAGAGAGAGAGAGAGAAAGAGACAGAAAGACAGAAAGCGAGAAATCACCCCCCCCAGGGGGATGACCACGCCGCAGTCCCATCTCCTCCATTCTCCTCTTGGGATCTTGAGCACGCACTTACACATGCCCCATGTGAGTTTAAGCCACTGGGTTCGGGACTCAAACTGCCATCAACTACATGAGAGTCCAGCAACATAGCCATTACGCCAACTGATGGTCCCTTAAATTTGCTTTATAAAACAATTTTAAAAAATAATTGTGCCAACAGATGGCATGGTGGCTATGTTGAAGGACTCCCACATGGCCAGCTGTGGTTTGAGTCCTGGGCTAGATGCCTTGAAACTCATGTGCCAGATGTGTGTGTGCCCAAAATCCTGAGGAGAATGGAGGACAGATCACATTGTGGATGTCGCTCTATGGGGGATGATTTCTGCTTTCTCTCTTACTGTCTCTCTCTCTCTCTCTCTTTGGCGAGCATACGCACTCTAAGGCAAAGACCTCTACCAAAATAATAATAATAATAAATTAAAAGAAAAATAACTTAAAAAATGTTTAATTAAATTTTATTTTTTTCATTCACTTAGTTTAATTTGACCAGAAAGAGACACAGAGAGAGAGAGAGAGGGAAAGTGAGAAAACAAGCCACCAGGTCCAGGACTTTAACTATGGTTGGTCTTATGGGAAAGTCTAGCACCTTAACCACCATGCCACCTGCTGGTCCCCTAAAAAAATTTTTTTAAAGACAGTTCTCACCTTGTGATTCTTCTGCCTCAGCCTTTGGCTGGGACTGCAGGCATATGCCATTGTGCCTGGCTCTTTTTTGTTGCCCAGGCCAGTACCAAGATGATAGGTGCATGCCACTGAATCTGGGCTGTAGGTTGGAACCATAATCAAACCCTGCCCTCCCGTGTGGTCACAGTCTGTGGAGCACAGTGTCTTAGTAGCACGTGCCAGGTTGGACCTACGTTTTTTTAAATAATGATACAAACTCAGTCTTTAATGTCGAAGAATGGCACAAACTCCAATTCTATTAGCTAGCCTTTGTTTTTCATCATGAAGAAATAGGGCTGTAGAGAATATTCAGGGTTTATTTATTTATTTTTTAAACTGATATTATTTTATATACAGTAATATGCACAGATTTTAAGACTACTTTTCAGTGAATTAAGCCAAGTTCATGTGCATGTCACTGATATTCTAATCAAGAAATAGAATGTTTTTATCATTTCTGAAAAGTTTCTGGTGCTGTATAGAAAATATTAATATGGGAGTAATTTTTTTTATGTATAAAATAAGTTATTTGTACTCGGCTGTATTTTGAGATATTCTTTTTTGAAATCACAGTCCTTTATCACTTAAATAGTAACAAGTATCTATTGAGCACTTATATGTTAGACACTGTTTACTTCTTTTTAACAGATTTCTTGAGATATAATTTATATATCACAGTTCTCCCATTTAAATTTGTACAGTCCAGAGGTTTTTAGTATATTTACAGAAATATACTGCTGTCACTGCAGTCAGTTTGAGGACATTTTTACCAGCTCAGAAAGAAATTTTGTACCCATTAGTAGTAAACTGCCCCCACCCCCAGCCATGCCACATTACACCATTACCCATCAGCCCTAGGCAGTCACCAGCTGGTATACTTTCTGTCCCTATGGATTTGTCTCTGCTGCACAAATCCATATTATTGGTCATTTTGACTATATCCATCCTAGCGGGTATGGAATAATACCTCATCATAGCGTTGATTTGCACTTCTCTGATGGCCAGTAATGTTGAGCATCATTTCATGTGCTTATTGGCCATTGTGTGTCTTTGGAGAAATCTCAGTTATGTTCGTTGCCCATTTTTAAATTGTGTTATCTTTTTATTATTATATTGTAAGACAAGTAGTGACTTTTACTTCCCGCCAGAGTCTTATATAAGATAGAACATCTCCATTTGCAAATGAGAAAATCAAAGCACAGAAAAGTTGAGCAACTTTACTCAAGTAAGTGAGACATTTAGTCCAGTGACAAATTAACATCAGGCAGTTTGACTCCAGAGCCCGTGCTTTTATCCCTACTATAAACTGCCTCACTGATGCTTTTCCTATTTGTGAACTGAAATGACTTTACTTTTGACTCTTCTCTCTTGGAGGCTGGATAGGTTTCATCTTTTTTAAAAAAATCTTTCCCCCAAATTTGTCATTTTCTCTTTTTGTTCTTCAGCACTTCTCTCAGAATCACTGTAGGTTGTAAGACCTTCACTAGGAAATTGCCCTTCTCCACCTGTACTGTCTCTAAGAGTTTTACGTTTCATGTATTTGTCACTTGCCTTTAAGTAATACTTTTAAATTTTTTAGCCATTGCTCTTGGGCTTTAAGGGTCTTTTTTTATTATGGTGACAAAACTCTGTGTTTGTCTCAACTCTCAGATTTTACTGAAGGATAAAATTGTCTTTCAGTTTTTATTTTTACCTACAGAAGTGTTCTCATCTTTTGAATGTTATTGGCATATGGAACCTCCCCTTATTCTCCAAGTTACTTTCTTTGAAACTTTTTTTTTAAGTTCCATTATTTAATTTTATTTTAATTGCCAGAAGTTGCGTATGCTTATCAAAGAGGGACAGGGAAACAGAGATAGCATCCCAAATGGGGTGTGATCACGCTGAATCCTGCTCTTAGGTTTCTTCATTCGGTCAGGATTTGGGGCACACACACATGCCTGGCATGCTTTTAAGCTACCAGGACTAGAATTTGACCCATGGTTGACCATGTGGAATCTGGATCCCTTAACCGTTAGCGGGTGGGCTCAGCCCTTTAATCCCATCGAATGGTTATTTTGTTTCTACTATACAAGGTTCTTTGCTTGGTATTATGGAAAAATCATAAACCCAGACAAAATCTTTGTGTAAATAAAAATTATTATAAGAAATTGTAATGATAGTATATATAATTTGCCTACATAAATACTATCATTAACATGTAAACAGTGCCAAAAGGAAGAGCTAAAATTTACTTACTAAAGAGAGCTCTTATAGGTGAAGATCAGCAAGGCTTAATGACAGAGGTGGAAATTGAGTTGGCCTGAGAAGAAAGTGAAATGCATTCTATATTTTAAGTGTTTCTGAGCCATGGATTTAAACGAGATGATATTTTCTCTTTTCTCCCTTGTTTTATTCTTTATGATAACTTATTTTGATTCCTTTAGCTATAATACCATCTTTTTTAGGGGAGAGGTTTTTGCTGTAGGGCACAAGTGCTCACCGGAAAGACAGAGAGACAGAAAGCAAGAAATCACCCCACAGAGGGGGATGACCACTCCATAATCCCTTCTCCTCCATTCTCCTCTTTGGATCTTGGACACTCACACACATGCTTCTGGCGTGAGTTTAAGCCACCAGGTCCAGGACTTGAACTGTAGTCGACTACATGGGAGTCCAGCGATGTAACCATTGCGCCATCTGCTGGTCCCAGTACCTTTTTAAATGTTACTAACTCCAGAATGATGAGAGAGCTTTTTTCATGGCCATAACTAATGGAATTGATTAGTATTGGTACTGTATTACCTTATGACCCAGCATTTTGTTGCACTGCATTCATAATCAGCCACTTTCTGCTCCAGAGGGCAGCTAGAGAAATTCTAACGTGGTCGTGTCACATCAGAGCCAGTTCTTCCCAAGCTCGTTGTCTGATGAGATTGTTTTGAACAAAATAGTTGGTATTGTGCTGGTACTGAGTACAGGGTCTAACATGAGTTTAAATAAAGTAACTCTAGTCTTAATTTGTATATTTAAGATTTCATGATTATTCAAATTTAAAAGAAATGTTCTTTTTCTTTGTTTCTGTAGCTTTTGCCTTATGAACAGTCATCCCTTTTGGAACTCATAAAGACTGAAAACAAGGTACAGAATCCTAAACCTAACATTTTTTCAAAGAAGGGAGATGTATTTTTTTAAATACTTTAGTTATGTGTTATAATTGATTTTGTTTTTTATGTTTTTATTCATGAAACTAGGTCTTAAACAAAGTCATTACTGTTTATGCTGCACTTTGTTGTGAAATCAAGAAATTAAAATATGAGGTAATTTTTGTTTTCTTAAAACTTTAAAAACATTTAAAAGCAGATACGTGCTTATGTATGTGTATTTGCATAAATATCTAATATTGAATGAGTTATTTATTTAAATAACTATTATTATTAGTATTATTATTAATACTAATAGCTAACATTCATAGCTTACCTACAATTGTGCCAAACAGCACAATAACGCTGTTAATCCTGAAACAGCCCAGGGAGGTTGTGAAGAATAGATGAGGAAACCAAAACTTTGAAGTGAGTGTCATTTGCCCAACATTGTATGGGCAATAGCAGTTTGAATCTAAGTCTGCACACCTCCAAAGTCCGTGTTACTTCTCAAGTATGCTTACCATCTAGATATAACTGATTTTTTAAAAACGCTTTGCATCTTTCATATAAATTTAGTTTAGTGTTTTTTAGCCAAGAGCCATTAAAATTCTGGTAGAAGTTGGTAGCTTTCATCTTTTTCTCTCTCTCTTTTTGATAGTATGTAGTTGCTCTGTATCTCTCCTGAATTTATAGAAGGATGTGGGACAGTGAGGGTGATCAGATAAGACAAAGCAAAGGCTAACGGAATCAAAGTACAGCTCTGAGTATGAGAAGTATCTTTCGGTACTCTGAAGATAACATTAAATTTAGTTGGATCATAAACAGGTTTTGAATTTAAATGATTGTCTATAAAATTATATAGTTCCTTATTTTTATTATTAGTTGTAGAAAAGGAAGAGCCTAGGAGTATGAAAACAAAATAATAACCTTTCAATTTATTTCCATTTTCTTAAAAAACAGGCTGAAACTAAATTTTATAATGGTCTCTTATTCTATGGAGAAGGAGGTAAGTTTTAAAATTTCAAAATTGCAATGTGATGATGCCTTTTCTGAGACTGAAATAAGCAAAAGTTCATACACAGTTCTAGGACTACCATTATTAATGTGTTAGTGTGAGAAAGTAATTCAAAGTTTTTGTTGGTTTCTTTGTTTGGTAAACAGGTTAAAAAAACCTGAACAATGAAGTAGCAGCAAATTCCTTAAAATTAATTTGTGACATTTTCACAAGTTACTAAGTGTTTTAGCTAGGTGAGAATTTTCCTTGAATTAATTAAATAATTAAACAGATGGTTAATTTGATGTGATTAATGATTATTTCATTTTTCTCTAAAGTGTAAGAAGTATGTGTTTCCAATATTATGTGTATTAGAACATGTCCTAAGGGGGGAAAATCATGTTTTCTTTTGGGTGTTGAGTTTAAATTAAAAAGTTGAAGTATGATTCTTGCTTTTTAAAGCCACAGATTCTAGCATGGTGGAAGGTGATTGCCAAATTCAGATGGGGCGATTTATTTCTTTCTTACAGGTAAATACTTTTTACTTTCTGTTGAACTTTTTCTTTGAAAAGCCTGAGTAAATTATACATAATTTTAAAATTTCTGAAACCTTCAGATGCTGAAGATGTGTATTCTGAGGGTAAGACACTTAACTAGCATTGCATTATACTTTAGGAGATTATAACTCTTGAGAAATTTCCAAGAAATTTTAAAGAATAAAATATCAGAATAAATTTTGTTGTATACTTTCATTTATGGACAGTTTGTTATCATGCCTTTAAAAATAATTTGAACTTTATACTAAGTGGGAAGAGATAAATTATGTTGGAAAAAGTTAATGGAGAGGATTAAGTTGTTAGATGAGCAATGATGATATTGTTAAAAGCAGCAGCTTTTAGTTTAGTTTTATCGAAAGAATGAAATCATTTCTATACCTCCACATTATGGAAAATAGTTCTTGTACAATCTGAAAGAGCAAAAATTGGAGATAAGGAAAAGGTACCTCCAGCCTCATCTCCCTTCTGATGGTTGGATATGTGATTTGAGATAGATATATATATATATATATTTAAAGAACTATTTATTTCATTCTATTTTTTATTATTACTGTTTTTTAATTTGATCAAAGAGAGACAGACAGAGAAAGGGAAAGGGAAAAAAGGAGTTGCCAGTTCTGAGACTCGAACTGTGGTTGGCCATGTGGGAATCCAACACCTTTATCTACCACACCACTCACTGGCTCCGAAATCAGTTATGCTAACATACTGTTCAAATCTTTTACATTTTTACTACGTTTTTATCTACTTGACATGAGAACATTTTGATGATGATATATGTTATGCAGTGTTTTCTCTTGAAAACAAATCACACAAGGTATTTTATTTCAGAAGAGGAGATTTAATGTAGAGCATAGGTTACACAGGAACTGGAGAACTGAAAGAACAGAAAGCAATGAAACAAATACAGTCTGATCTTCCCTAATCTGAAAACACAAAGTCAAAATTACCCTAAATTATAAGCCCTTTTGAGTGTTGACATGATGTCAAAAGTGAAAAATCCCATGCTTGACCTGTAATGGGGCATAGACAAAATGCCGCAATACAAAAAAAAAATTATATAAAATTACCTTCACACTGTGTGCTTAAGGCATATATAAAATGCAAACATATTTTGTGTTTAGATGTGGGTCTTATCACCACATATCTCATTATATAAATGCAGTTGTCCCAAAGTCTGAAAAAAAAATCCAAAATCAGAAACTCAAGCATTTTATATAAGGGATATTATCCTGTAGTACTATTGCAACCAGAGAATGAAAGAAAAAAGTTTGGAATTACCAGTCTGGAACTTGGAGAAGGAATTGGTGTTCAGATGTCTGTGGATATGGCTCTACCTGGCTGCTGCTGGTACCTCTGAGGTACTGTCTCTGACCAGTATACATGCTTGCTGCCCCCCCCCCCAAATTAAAAAAAAAAAAAAGGCAGAGGAGATAATAAGACAATGAACAAGTGTATTCAGAGACACGGAGTGGAGAAAGAGTCCTGCTAGTTTCTGGCAAATTATAAGTAAGTAAATAAAATTGAATTTTGTACATTTGGAAAGTTGAATGGTTATTTCTATGATATTATTCAACCTTCAGTTCTACGTAATCCTGTTTAATAGATAATTTGACCTGTAGCTTTAAAAGTGTGTTCCCTAGAGAATCATCTGCACCAGCAGAGAAATTTTTAGAAATACAGATTATTGGAGCTGGCAGATGGTATGGTGGTTAAAAGCACTGGAATCCCACATAGCTGACCACGGTTCCAGTCCCAGACTTGGCGGCTTACTTTCTCACTTTCC